CCTCTGGGATGGAAGCCCACTGCTCTAACCCGTCATCCATGTCTGCGGGTGAACTCCAAATGGTCTTAATAGCCATGGTTAACCATGACATAAGGGAAGGATATGGAAAGTCTGTCGTCGTGGCGGCCCCTGCCTTAAGACTCCTACGAAGGAGGGGGTCTGTGGTCAGCGAGCCCATCCTGCCTAGCTCAGTGGGGGTAAGGGTAATCGCGTCCGCCCCCTCATCCCACAATCGGAGCAGCCACGCCAGCAGCGATTCTTTGGGGCGCTGCTTGAAACGCTGCACAAAGTCCTGTATCTCAGAGGACTTAAATTCCCGGATAGTATCCCTTCCCACCATATTATCATTATCCCCGTGCGGCCCCTCGTGCCGCGTCTCGACAACGGGCCGCAGTTGCGGGTAGAGCCCCATCTTCCCGCCATCCCCCTCCCAGGGGACTCATCTTCACTTGTCTCCCAGATGTCCCCATCCCAGATCTCTGGGTCCCAATCGGTTTTGCGCACCAGTGCCCGTATGGCGAGGGGGCGCACATCCCGCCGCCCTCCCTTTCGCCGCCGGCGGTTCGCAATGCGAGCTGCCATGACTGTGCATCGGTGCTCCAACCGCTCGGCCCATTTAGCTGTACCAGTGATGACCTCCTGGGTCAGTGAATGTGCCTCATTTGCTTGCTGCAAATCAGCCTCTAACAGTCCTATCCTCTGGCGCTGAACCAGCAGCGCCTTGTCCACCGCGCGGAGCGCAGTCAGGAAAGCCCATCCCAGGTCTCCCGCTGCTTTACGCTCTGCGGGTCCTGCTTTATCCAGCCGGAGCTTGGATATCAGCTCCTCCAGCCTAACTGGGGTAACCCCCGGCTCCTTCTCAAGCTCTGGCCATGCGGCGGGGGCACCCATCCCCGCCAGCTTACGAGCCACTGGTGCCCACCGTCCCGTGGCAGGCCACCCGGGGATGCGGCTCTCTCCCTCCACCTTATCCTTCCTCCCCCAAAGAGGCATTCTCACGCCGGTATCCTGTTCATGATGCCAATAGTGCCCGCAAGGGGGGCCGTGATACTGGCGAAAGATTGACACTCAGTGCCTGAGAGTAAAAAGCAAGGCTTTACTGAAGGAAGAACTTACACTCCAAGCTGCGCGGGGAGTCCCTGAGGCACGCGGAGGGGCTGCGGGGGATTCTGACCGTCCGGGACAGCTGGCCAGGCAGGACTCCACTGAAGGGAGTCCGCTGCAATGCTATATCCCCCCGCGCTTATCTCAAGGTTACATGGGGTCAACAGCTGGCTACATTCATTTCATTCATAAATCGTACTCATTATATAAGCTAACTTGTTTACAGACAAAAACATGCTGAACTATACTAAACTACATTTTGGCAGGGTCTGATGAAAAAAGTTCATTGCATGGCCTTCAACTGCTTCCGCCTGCATTCAGTCACATACTCGGTCCGCCACTTAGCTCCTCGCCAAGCTTCCGCAACCTGTCCCCTACACCAACAATTATAAATTAGTTTTGTTTCTTAAATGATTAAAAGTTTTTGTATTGTTAAGAAATTTAAAAATTCACAAAGAGGATGATTATTTATATATAAAAAAGGTTTAGGCAGACCTAATTAGTAATAGTCAACTGCAGTCCAACTTGGGGCAGTGGTAACCCAGGAAACTTTTTTCATTGTAGCAGCTGGCAGGTCTTAACTTAGTTGTGGGAGCAATGTCTGCAAGACTTCTACTGTAGCTTCACCAGATTCTAGACAGCAAGGAAGTCAAGGCATGCATGAAGGAGAGGGCGGATTATCCGCCGCGGGTATAATGTGTACTTAGAAGTCCAAGACATAGGATGATTCCTTACCTCCACTTGAGACTTCTGAAAAGTCAAAACAGGCTCAGGAGAACTTGTGGGAAGTCCAGGGAAAGTAAATAGCCTGAAAGCAGGATGGGCTGAAGTCCTGAGAAGCGGGCTTCTTTGCATTGCCTCTGCTGTCAACAGCCTAAAAATCCTGACCAGACTGAACATTCAATTCTTTTCTGTTTTTCTGCTATGCTAAATTAATTTTATTCACATTCTTTCAGACACATGGAAAGAATGCTGCTGTGACTCATGTTATGCAGCAAAGCAAGACTGGGGAAATTGAGATAACAAACAGGGTGGAGTCCAACACACAGCACTCATACCAAAATTATGTCTATGTAATTGGTGCTTTATGGTGCTTGCTGAAAGGAACCTTAGGATGCTTTGTCTTGTGGTGCTGCTAAGACATATTCTGTCAGGGGCTTCCTGACCTTATTTGAAGATGATCATCACTGACAGGAAAGTCTGTTTTCAAGTGGAGACTTTAAGTCTATAGGTCCCTCCTTCAAGTGAGAAACAGACTCAAGAGAATGCAGAGTGGCCTTTCTTTTACCCTCTGCAAAGAAACTTGTACCTGCTCCACAAATTCTTAATATATGACAGGTTCTAAAACTTCCTTGAAACTTAGATGCAAGCAGCAAGAGCACCTATGGGCATGTATGCACCTTTGAGGCAGCTGCCCTTATTAGTCATACTTGCATTAAAGGCCACCTGTACCTCATGCCAGGGAAGGTCCATGCCTCCATGGATTAGCTTTTTTAAGCTACTAACAATCTGTGAGGAAAGAATCAGCCAGGGTAGAGGTCCTCCTATAGCTCTACATGACCTTTTGCCACGAAGGCTTGTTAGTCCACAATGTGGACTACCAGCCATGAGCTGACAAACCTTTCCTACAAATAAATTCCAGATTCACTATTCAAGATTCTGGGTGAAGGGCTCTAAATTCAGCCAGCCAATTTCCTTCCCTCTAGCTCAGGGGTGAGCAAACTACGGCCCACAGGCTGCGTCCAGCCCATCAGACATTATTATCTGACCCTAGAGCTCCCGCTGGAGAGTGGGGTCTGGGGCTTGCCCCCCTCCTGGAAGCAGCGGCATGTCCCCCCTCTGGCTCCTATGTGTAGGGGCAGCCAGGGGGTTCTGCACACTGCCTTGCCCCAAGCACTGCCCCCACAGCTCCCATTGACTGGGAACTGTAGCCAATGGGAGCTGCAGGGGCAGTGCCTGTGGATGGGGCAGAGCTGCCTGGCCGCGCCTCCCTGTAGGAGCCGGTGTGGGGACATGCTACTGCTTCTGGGAACTGCTTGAGGTAAGCGCCGCCTGGAGCCTGCACCCCTGACCTCCTCCCATGCCCCAACCCCCTCCCCCCCTCCAAACCCCTCAGTCCCAGCCCAGAGCACCCTCTTGCACCCCAAACCCCTCATCCCAGAGCCTGCACCTTCAGCTGGAGAGCTCACCTCCCCCTGCACCCCTACCCCAGCCTAGAACCCCCTCCCACACCCTGAACTAATTTCTGGCCCCACCCCAGAGCCTGCACCCTCAGCCAGAGCTCCTACCCCCTCCTGCACCCCAACCCCAATTTTGTGAGCATTCATGGGCCACCATACAATTTCCATACCCAGATGTGGCCCTCAGGCCAAAAAGTTTACCTACCCTTACTCTAGCTACTACTGCTCCTCCAAACTCTTATAGGGAGCATGGGAGCTGTATCTGGGGTCATTTTTAAGGAAGAAAGGCCTTCCTGGCCTTCAGTTGGCCCACAATACGATGCAAAAGTAAGCCTATGTTCCTGGCATCTGTACCTCTCAGTCACTGACTTGATTCCTGGATTAGGTTTAACTGAGATCAGTGGTGTTGTAATGCTTCTGTGAAAATCAGGGGGAGTTAGGATTTTCCCTATGGAGTCATCTCTTGGCACACCGCCCTAGCAGATACATGTACTTGGCATTGGAGGAATCCTTCAGCTTATCAAACTCCAAATAGCAGCCTGCACCTACATAAACAACTTTAATTGTCTCTTGGTAATAGGGAGCCCTAGAACACTGAAAGTGCTGTGGGAAGCACAGTCAATGGCTGTGCTTGAATGTTTAGCCCAGGCAGGCACACTTATTAGGCATACAGATTCCTGCAGCAGGAATGCTGATTCTTTGCACCATGGCTGATGTTCAGGAATCAGCGTGTGCACCAGCCATGGTGAAAGATACTGAATCCCCCAATTCAGGGCACAGAAAGCTGGCAGTGTGAGCTTCATGGCAGCAGCACACAGGACCAGGAGTGATTGGACACTGATACCTGGAATCATGGTCTCCAACTCCAGCACAAATTCAGGAGAGGAAAAAGCCCAAGCCCTCTAGACAGAGGTACGTCAAGTTGTTGGCCTTCTCTTAATCACTTGTGGAGAGACTACAAATTTTGAGGACCTGAAGTCCAATACCCCCAGACATCAAGCACCCAAGTGATATCATATATGGGTCAAGATGTTATCAACTGCTCTCTCATCAACATTCATTTATAAATGCCAAAAATATATTAATGAGCTGTGGTTCTGCGGTCTTAACTGCCTCCTTACCCCTAGAACGGTCCCTCCAGATCAACACTGAAGCACATTTGTAAAAAGTGATGTTAAAAAACAAACTCACTCTCTCTCACACACTCAACTTGTTCCTGCTGATGCTGTATCTGTTCAGGGCACAGGATTTAGTTCTCCAAGACTATCAATCTGGCACTTCTCACAAGTAAAGATTTTAATGTAATTCATGAGTTCAGCATGGTTTCAATTTTTATAATTTGTTTATTTTTGAATGTTTGTTCCCCTTGTTCATAAAGTATTAAAAATAAAATTAAAATATTTCAAGGGTAGCCAGTTGCATAGATGTACAATTTTTCCTTCAGTTGATAAAATTCCAGCAGGAGATTGATTGTATATAATATTCATATAGCAAACATGAGGATGTGTAAGACAAGTAGTAACTACATTTCTCAGAACAAAATTTCATACACCAGCTGAAAAGTGACATTTTTATTTGAAACTAGCACAATAGTTATGAAAAACATAAGCACTTTGTCAAAATGATCATACAAGATTTAAGGTCACCTGTTACATAGCATGGTGTTTAATGATTAATTATGCAATAAGCTGGATTTCAAATAAAACCTATACTCTGTTCAAAAACTAATACAAAATAAGCATTTGGTTTATAAGTCTCCATGACATTTTTGGAAAACAGACTAACGAGTATTGCCTTTGTTAGGACATAACCTGCTCCAGAACCCATCAATAAATTGAGGTGAAGACAAAAACCTTCTTTGGTAGAAGTGACTGGAAAAGGAGAAGGTAGAGACCTATAATAAAAGGTAAAGGGCTAAATATTAAAAAGGAAATATGAACAAAAGTGTAGTGTGTCCAAAGTATACATTCTGCAATTATCACAAAAAAATAAATTAACACTCAAATAGTAATTCAGTACAAAGCCCAAGTCCAATAAAATCACATGACTCTGGGTCACAACTCTAAAAAGGTCAGGTGAACTAGCTCGGCTTCCTATTTTTATATTTTTCTTGGAGTAATATTTAGTTTCAGGGCTTATTTATAGTAAAAGTTAAAAACCATCCTGCCAAAGGGAAGAGAAAAAACTTTAAAGGTAGGGCTACTTTTCCCAGAGAGCTGGATCTAAAGCTCTCCAAATCTCAGGGGTTTCCCTTTGTGCGGGTTTGTGCAAACCATTGCATTAGACATAGATTCACACCTCCAAGCATAACTTTTGAATTAACTCAGTCATCTACAACTTTTACTTAAAACACACACGCTTCACTGAAACCCTTGGACAAACCTAAGTTTCAGTTTTGTAAGAAAACTGATTTCCAATAAGGTGTTGCATAAGTTTTGAATTTGTGTGCAAACATTTCACACAGCCCAACCCTGAATCCTCCAAATTATGCTCCCATAGATACCAATAAAGATATATCTAAGAGCAGACTTCAGAGAAAGTTATCAATCATTAACAGGATGTAATAGTCTAAATTTGATTTCAGTAACTGCATAACAAGTCTGAAATACAGGGGAACAAACCCTATTAAAATAATAGAAAATGGAGAAAAAAAAAAAGTGTTTCCTGGGGACTTCTTGAGAACCTCAACCTACTTCCCATTTATGGAAAATAAAGTAATAAAGGAGAGAATGAACAGAGATGGGAACAACCTGGTAATCAGTATCAGATTAATAGGATGGGAAAGCCTGCAATATATTGCATTTAATTCTGAAGTACTATTCAAGTCCCATGAACTCTGGGCCCAACTTGGATCACAAGTTCCACTTTGTATGAATCCCCAGCATGATGAGGTGATCGTCACTTTTCAGCTCAGTAAAGCAGGCTTGCCACCACAATCTGGTGCAAGCTGAAGCTGTCAGGAGTCAAAGAAGTCCTGGTTTGCCCTGCATAGGTTTCTCCATTTTCAAAAGTTTAGTACATTTTATTCTAGGTGTTTAGAGTGAGTCACCATAGTACTTGTGCTCTGTTTCCCATTGGAAGTTACTATCTACACATATTTAGAGTGGATAAAGGATGTGTTAGAAGTGATACAATCATTTTATGTCCTGTGTTCGCGTATCTCAAAACAAATCTAGACGTAAAAGAAACTTTAGGTAAGTCTATGTTTAGATTTAGAACATAAAAATACAGTAATCTTGGACTTTAAAGAGATACAACTAAAGCCAGCTGCAACTCTCCAGAAAACTCTGCCCCCAAAGAAACCAAATTAAAAGGTACTTTTCCCACCAAAATTTCAGTCCCCTATAAACATTAGTCATCAAGTCCTTTCTTCAAAAGCTCATGCAAAGAGACTGACCTCCAGGGAATACTGCAAAAAACTTTACAGTTAAGTAGCTGGCATGCCAAGACCACAGCCTATCATGCCAACCAATATTAAGTCGCTGTTTCCTTGAGCTCTGTCTGTCTGTATCCACCTTTGGCCTCTTGTCTTATAGTTAGAGTTAGACTCATTGGGGTGTGAACAGTATGCGTGTGTGTTTATACAAATACCAAGCACAACATAATCCTGCCCCATGACGGGGGCCCTTGGTATTACCACAAGTTAAGATGTATCTAATGATAATCTGCTTTATACATTAGTTATCTTTACATTTATCTCCTTTTCTGATGTATGGAAGATCTGCTACTATTAAATTATCCAATTTGACAAACAAGTCTTGTCTTTATTGGAATTTGACACCCAAACATTATCAAGATTGAGACGTTATTCCACTGTTCACACCACTGATAAAGAGAGTCCTTATTAAGATCTGTAAAATACTAAATTTGTCGTGATTTACATAATCAGCATTTGAAGCTGTGATTTGAATAAATTTGTACCACTATTTTTAGAGTATTAATCTACCTCAAAAAGTAGGTTGAGGCAAGCTTTTTAAAATCAACTATTTTTGTGACTCAGTGTTCAAAGGAAAGAATGAGAGATACTCACCAAGTAGAATTAAAAACAAAACTTTGCTTCTGAGCAATACAAGCAGTTATGTGCCAAAAAAGAAAAAAAAAGGGTAAGCACTATTAGCATAGGATATTTTGAAGAGAATAACTAAGTTCCCTTTTCTTCATGTGACAACTGCCATCTTCTAATTGGTGAAAAAAGGAAGGGAGGTGGGGAGAGAAACACACAACCTCCCGCCCCCAGCTAACATGCTCCTCCTTCATAAAAGGCAAGATATAAATTTATTTATATATTGAACTAGCTTAAAATTTGAAAACAGCTGAAGAGTACAGGTAGGGTCTACTTCTTAGCCACTTCTGAAGTACTACTTTTTATATCCTTTACTTAAAAAGCACTTGCCTTAATAAAGGTACAGCAAAATGCCTGTAGTATATACCTGTATGAAACATCCGAGATGGACAATACCTAAACATAAAAGAAAAAAAGTACAAGAATTCATTATTAAGTATATTTTTAAAGGAAATATTTCTTTTGTAGCTTTATTACTTATTTGCATGTACTCTCATCTAAAGATAACTTATGAATGATAAAAAAAATCACTTTAGGAGAAAATCGTGAATATCCCAATATAACAAACTATACATTTAGTTTTCATGACAAATCTCAAAGGGACATGGCTTCCTTGCAAATCAAGCACCACTGGATCGACCTCTGTGCAAGATGTTTAAGGAGGTCTAGTTGTATATGCCAGTGATGGATATCAACTGAAATCTTGTTGCGCCATCAAAGTTTTTGATACCCATGTGCTCACCGGCCATGTACTGGAATTCCGTGGTGTACACACTTTGAAATTCATTACTCTTCCATTCTAATAATACCTCCATATCAAGAAAGCTGCTGAAACCAAACCAGTGCTGCTGGAGATGACTGCTGGGTTTGGCTTCAAATATCCTCATTTTGAGTCTTGTCCTGCCACTTGACATAGAGCAGCTGACAAAGACTGACAGTTTTCAATGCTCATAATCTGGTGTTCTTAAGGCTTCCTCAGCACCCATGATTCATTTCTGTATAAGAGAGTTGTTTTAACTGTGGCTCTATAGATCCATAGCTTCCTCACAAGCCTGATGTCATAACCTTCCCACAAAGGCCACTGAAGGGCCCAGAACATGGCAGCAGCTGCTGATATACAAACGTCTACATATTTCAAGCATCCTCCAGCAGTCTACCGAGCTAGTTGGAGCTGGAGGTTGTGGTCAGGGACTTAGTTTTATCCAGATTAATAACCAGACCAATATGTACTACTTTTTGCCCAGCCAGCTTAGTTTAGCTTTCCACCAACTCTTAGGGCACACTACGGGAGTCCTTGTACATAACTTTTATAATTGCAATTATCTTATCGAAACGCCATATGATTTTAATGTTTTGGAGGAAAGCATTATGGAAAGTAACTGGAATGCCTTCGTGAAATTGATGAAAACAGCAACTATCTTTAATCCCCCTTCTCATCCTTCCATTCTCCCATGCCCAAATAAACTGTTGGAGCATAAATATCTGATCAATGCAACTTCTGTTCTGAAGTCTCACTTCCTTGCCTACTACTTCCTCGAAAACCAGTCTTAATCTGTTGATAATTACATTCATTTTCCATGATACTGAGACTAACCTCTATGATTATTCAGATTGACAGAATCACCTTTCTTCAGGATCGGTACATACTATTGCCTTTACCCAGTCATCCAGTTGCTCCTCCTGCTCCCATACCTTCTTGTATATTTTCCTAATGCTTTGATAGCACTTGTCCCACTGATTTTAGTGTCTTGGCTGTTACACTGTTTATTGTTGAAGCTTTCCCATTTTTCAACTTTTTCACTGCTCTTTCTGATTCTTCTGCTGATGGTGGTTCAGTGCTGACATCCATTCTGCCTTTCAAGACACCCTGTTCATCTAGCATGTCTAAAATGCTTGCTTTAGCACTTTGTCAAAATGCAACTTCCATACTTTCAACATCACTTTGGCATTTGCTGTCAGTTCACAAGTAGCCTCTCTTACAGTTTGTGTTGTTAGCTTAATTGTGTTTCCATACAAGTTAGCCTTTTTGTATATGTGCACATATACAACATATATACAGCAAATTTCTGTAACAACCCCTCATGGAACTTGCTCTCTACATTGTCCTGCTGCCAAAATGGCAGACCACAGGTATCCACAGGATACCTAAGCTAAGGTCCTGTAACACCACAATGGCTGTGGTCTCCGGCATCACCCTGGGCAGCTGCAATGGCAGCTCCTGGGACAAGACAGAACTCAGTGGAAAAGTCTCATCTTCTTCAGGAACCTCCAATGAACCAGAACAAAGTAAATGCTCCTCCTTTCTGGGCTTACGAGGCCACTTCTCCCCAGCATGTCCAGTCTCTATCCCATGACTTACTATAGACCCTGGACACACACAGAGGCCTCTGTGGGGTCTCGAGTGATGGTGCTGGAGGTACTTAACTGTGAATCTCAGAGGTATGAAGGACTGTGGGACAGTGTTCAATAGTAAGCAATTTTTATGTTTGATCGTTAGTAATACAAAGTGGTTATTATTCTTAAAGTAAAAACTTACCTGAATAGAGTGTGTGTTCCATCAAAAATTGGTCCATTTCAATTACTCAGATGTTCTACAAAAATAGACCAACCAATCAACATCAACCAAAACACAATCCTCAATTATTTAAAAATGAAAGATGATTAATTCACAGAACTAGTTCTTGCATAAGGCATTCTTATTAACTGATTGAAAACTTACTATCACAATTAAAAAACTTGTGGTAAAGTTTTCATTAGTAATAGATGGGTATTTGCAATTAATTAAGCAGCTATAAGAACCAGTGTTGTCCCTCACCACCACAAGAATGTCTTAGAAAAACATAATAAGCTGGATACATTTTTTTGGCATTATATTCAGTATAAATTTAAATTTTGAAATCTAGTTTTAAAATTGGCAAAGCTGTTATAGATGATCTTGCTGTTCCTGTAAAATATTTTTGAAATCTTCCAAGGGAAGGTTTCTTAAGGCATTTGGTAAAATGTGGTCCAATGCAACTCCTGGCAAAATATTATTTGTTTCCAAGTTTTTGATGAGGCAAGTCATTTCTATCCATCTTTGTGTGGCTCTATGTTCTTTTTGAATGCAGTTCTTCATTCTTCTTCTCAAGCTTGCTATCTCCTTTTCTAACTTAATTATCCTTTTCTTGGCTTCCATGGGGCTTCTGAAAGCATAACTGTGTTCCAGTTGTACTTGTCTACAGCTAATGTTTGTTTTGAAGTTAGATACCCCTTCTGGGGTATAAGCATCTTTCTTCTTCAGAAGATTTCTTGACATAGGTTTCTGTAAATAAAAATAACAGGAAAGGAAATAAAACCTAAATTTATCATGGCATTATGCAAGTTTATAAAATGCCAAACTTCAAATTAATCTAACCTGTAATTACTACATTTCTGCAGTAACTAGGTACATTTAAAACACACAGTATTGTTATTAATTTTGAGCCAACTGTCCAATTTCATCTATGCTAAGGCATTTTGCTCATGAACCTGAAGATCAGCTGTAATAATTGCTGTATCAGGAAAACCTAAACCTTGATAAAAAAAAAATATCGCCAGGACTATGAGAGAAGCAGTACTTTTCACAGTTTACATATTTTTAAAAGTGTGGACAGTCCTCCATTAGAATTCCTCCTATTATATGTTAATTTTATTAATCTACACTGATTTTTTTTAACCAATCTTGTGATCTTTGCTCATTAGTAAAATAAAGCAGATTTTTAGGACAGTTTAGAGAGACTTTTCTACATAGTAGCTGTTGGCTGCAGATGTATGCAGATTTGTTGTCATCCCTTAATAAAAAAATATTTCCACAAATGTGTGCTGCTGAAATGGTGGTGTTTACACGAATTTGAATATGTAGGCAACATTCAGGGAGCAGAACACAGAACAGCTCCTGGCTTCAGTACTCTAAGACCTGTGCTTTCTTGTAGTTTAAACTATTTCATTTGCACTTCATTGAGAATTTCTTCAGTGTCAAAAACAAAAGGATCTTGCAAAACAGAAAAACATCCTTTACTTCTATATGCTTCAGAAGCAACCACAGTTCTCTTTCAAAGGCACACAGCCAAATGCAGCTCAGAGAAGCTCTCTTACCCTGCAGCTTCAAATTTAAGTCACTAAGATGAGCTATAATAGCTACTATGAAACAGAGATTAGAGACATTCTTCATCTGTTAATTTCCCCTTTTTATGTATGAATTTCTCAATCAATTTCTCTCAGAGGGGAAAAAAAATACCACCACCAAAATAAAATACTGTATAATACAATAAAAACGTTTCAATTCCTCCTGTACTTCACCACCTTTCTGTCATCAAATGCATGAGATCACATTTTGTTTTCAAAACTGATGCTAGTGCTAGTTACTTTTCAGAGTAGCAGCTCATTCTAAAGCCCAATTATTGATGAATAAACTGCTTCTTTGCTGAATAACGCAGCGATAAGTAATTTGAACAGACCATCTCATCATCTGTTTTCATTAATGCAAACAGCTCAGATACTGAGTGCAGCATCAACTGTAATCCCAACCACTTATTGTCATTTCAATCTCTACTTCTACAATCCCTCAGCCGCGACCACAGCACCTAGTGTAGGGCAACCAGACAGCAAATGTGAAAAATCGGGACAGAGGGTGGGAGGTAACAGGAGCCTATATAAGAAAAAGACCCCAAAATCAGGACTGTCCCTATAAAATCAGGACATCTGGTCACTCTAATCTAGTGCCATCTTTAAACTGCTAAGAAACAGCAGTTGTTCATGGTTTTCAAACACTGTGGGGAAAAACAAATAGTTGTAGAATGTCAGTGCAAAGGTGGATAAAACAAATTAATGTTTTAAATTAAACACGGGGTTTATTTATTTAAAATTCATTTGAAATTGACAACCTATTTTAAAGCCTACATGTACTTTAATCTATTAAAATAATTTAAACAAAAAAATTATATTAAGCAATCCATGTTTGCTGCTGAAGTTTTAAAGAAATTCACACCACTGAAATGGTGGAAACCACTGGCTAAGCACCTGGAACCACTGGTTGTTGAAGTGTTAAAACAACTTCTTACAGAAGTAGCCTCTTTTGCAGGTGCAGAAAGAACATTTTCTTCAATTCAGTTTATTCAACTAGTTCAGTTCAATGTCTCGTGCACTCAAAGTTGAGACACTGACTGGGAGTTGAAAGGAAAGGAAAAAAAAAAAAAAAAAAAAAAAAAAAAAAAAAAA